ACACACACACACACACACACACACACACACGTCGCCTCTCTTGCTCCACGCCCACACAGTCGTAATAAGGCCGGAGCTTTCTGCTTCCCAGCTGGAGCAAATGCAGCCAATCTGAATTAGCTTTAACTTAATCCAGCAATGCTAATAATCCTTAGAAGCATGTAGGCTATAAAAAGTAGAAAATAAAAAATAAATTCTTGATCTTAGTGTGTAAATGTGTGTTTAAGAAGATACCCACCTCTGCTTTCTTAAATGAGTCATTACCAATGTAAGAATACAGATATGGAATAATTTACTGGGAGATTTGAGCACAAATGAAAGAAAATACCTCGTCGCTCAAACAAAAAGCTTGCGCAGATCCTTGGCTCTACAGTTTTTTGATTGCCTGGCCTTTGGGTTTGAGTTCGGACGTATAAATTTACAGGTTCCTGCCAGATGCTTGCGGATGCTTCTGGCACCGGCTCGTGCCAAAGGAGCACTAACCCTGATGACTCCTGCAGGTTGCCAGGCCCGGCCCTGTTTTTGCTCGCTGCTGGGATGGATGGGTGCGGGACTCGTTGGCCGGGCGGACCACCGGGGGCGCTGAGGCTGCGGAGGCAGAGAGCTGCAAAGAAACATCAAGGTCAGCTGTTTGGCAGAGCACGTTCACAAACCTCGGCGTCGGGCAAGCTGAAGGCGCCAGGTGTGGAACTGAACGGTGCCGCCGCCGTCTGAAGCGGAGTTTTTCTTTTTACAGTAAACACTGTCCTTTTTTTTTTCTTTTTCGACAGGCTGTCATGTAATCAGCCACAACTGTTAGTGCGAGGCAGTTTGACATAAAGCCTCCTACGGTCGAGGTACACCGAGGAGGGTAATTACAGTCAGGATTAGCGGAGATCTCCAGTAGCAGAGACTTTCATGACACAAAGCAATCACTAAAAAAATAAATAAGGGGGAAAAAAATAGAAAGAAAAATGGAATGCAGCAGCCAGGCAGGCTGATTATGTACACAGACGTGCGCAGCTATACGTGCACACGCCTCAGACCTACACGCTCCTGTCGGCCATCACAGACAGCACGCCGGCTCGGCAGCCATTTTGCAAGACTGCTCCGGAATGTTCAATTAGGGTAATTGTTACGTATGCCGCCGTTTCTTGGCATCGCGGCGTCGTCGTGGGATGCAAAAGAAAAAAAGGTGGCGTTTAGGCGAGCGTGGGATCGAACTCTGGCGATTAAAATCTAGAGAAGTCCTGGATTGGAAGCTTGTTTTATTTTCTGATCTGCCACAGGAGGCCCCCACGGTGTCAGGCAGGACACGTATGATGGCGGGGTGTTGTGCAGCCGTGTGTGAACTCCACATGCATGTGTGGCCCCGGCACGGCTCTTTGTACATGTATGTGCCGCTGCTGGTGCTTCACATATGGAGGAGGGGACGAGGCTGTGCATACGAGCGCAGAGAAAGAAAGAAAGAAAGAAAGAAAGGAAGAAAGAGAGGAGAGGAGAGGAAATGGAAAGGGTGAGAGAAATAAAAGACAATAGAAAGCCAAATGTGCAGCTTGTTCTCATCGCCACCATTTCTGCTCCATGCCATGGAAAACACAGGAACAGAAATTAACCCACTCATGTAGTCGATGAAATAATACGCCAAGAAAAGATGGTGGTTTTCTTTGGACACTGAATGCTGCTGTCTCCCTGTGAGCATCTGACCTGTCAGGACTCAGAGCTCAGTTCTCCACCCATCTTCACTAACCCTCCTGTCACACTGCTAACCAGAAACTGACACCTTAAAAGAAGGTTTCGTACACAGGAAATATTCAAAAGCGACATAAAAAAGGCAAAGAAGCCCCCTGTGAATATAAAACATCCCCATTTAGATTATAAAATATAGTATTAGTTGTCCTAACATGGTAGTTTAACGTGTCTAACCCCCCTGTTACTGCCGTCACATGAGCAGGATTTAACAAAGGCCACCTAAGGATACGAACAGAAGTGATGCAGCAGCTGACACAAAGAGAGGATTGATCATTTAGTGTTATATGGACGGGGTCGAGCCGGTCCACATCCTGGAGAAAGAGAGAGAGAGAGAGAGAGAGAGAGAGAGAGAGAGAGAGAGAGAGAGAGAGAGAGAGAGAGACGAGGCCCAGGGACGTCCCACTAGCATTAAGAAAGCTCTCTCAGTGGAATGTGTCAGCCAATGGGCAGCCAAGCTGCCTTGTTAATTAAAGCCAAAGTTGTTTGTCAGCGCCGGCATATGATGCACACTCCTATCTCTGTCGGGGGAGCGTGAAAACACGAAGCAAAATTGCTGCAACCTCTGCAACAAATCTGCTGCCTCACCATGGAGGCAAGACATCTTACCACAGCAAAGACTGCTGCAAGTGTCAGGATCAGTTTGCACTCCGGTCCTCAAGTGGAAATCCACAGAGCAGGAACGCTACGCTGACCATGAGAAAAAGGTGGGGAATTATAKGGTTTTCAAACTATTTTTAGTCTAACCCATTATTTCAACAAATCATCACTTGGAAGTTCAAATGGTGTCAGCACAATTGAGCAAAGGTGCAGCCCAGGTGGCATGTCAGTCTTTTATCAGTAGAAAGTAATAATCTTAGTTGAACTGTCTGCTTTAGAGTCACACTAATGAAGGATAATAGCTAACAAGTGGTGCTATCTGAGTGCTAACCATAAAGTCAATATTTTAAGTGGGAAATCCGTCTTCGCTGCTGCTCCCATGAGGACTTCAAAGCACCTGATGAAATGTAAGAAAACATCTTTGTATCTGGAAAGCTGCTGGCTCAGATCCATGTACCAACATACAGAGTGAAAGTGGAGCACCAACGCACAGCTTCCCAAACAACTACTTTCAAGCCCCCCCTCGGGCAAGGCACTTCATTTCCCCATACTGCACAGCAGAGCAGCTTCAGAGGCCAACAGCACATGATGATTAGTCTGTAAAACTGCAGAAAAACACAGTTGGGGAAGAGAAGCAAAATGTCCCTTGATAAATCCAAAGACAGACCGCGGATCCCCCCCCCTCCACAATTTGGATATATGAGCTCTTTTTCTGTAAGAATTCCTGACCTATCATCCTCCTGCTCTGGACACGGCTGTAATGTCGCTAAAGCAACTTAAATCCCCATCAGAGAGAAATTAGAGGCTTGTGGCGTGCAATGAAAAACCCCAAACAAATCTGTAAATTTATGTTAAAGCAGATGAACAGAAGGATTGTGGATTAACAAGTGGGGATTTGCAACTCTAAAGTCTCACAGAATGGTGCAAATAAAACATCCTATTAATCCCATGACAGATGGATAATTGTGTCATTTTATTATCTGCTCTCCTGTTTGATACCCACAGGGTGAGTTCTGGAGGCTTGAAGTTGCAACCAGWAATTGTTTTTACCATGGTGCCGTGAGGTGACAAACTGTTCARGAAATGTCCAAGGAAATGGCTTTCWAGGTACTGAAACAGCCTCTAAATGAGGAATATCCTGATGAGCCACCTGACTGCACACATAGCAAAACATTTTCTACATTCCGCTTCAAACAGAAAATATTACTTCCATACCATTCAAACTCTACTCTATTCTCCTTCAAAAAGCAGCAGATTGAATCATTGTCGAATCAGACCGAGCATTTTTTCCCCCGTCTAATCGTTATAAAGTGTCTGGGACAAAGCACCGCAGCTGGGTACGTACGGTACAGTCGATTTACTCAGGTAAGTAAGCAGCTTTCCTATGAGAAACCAGACGAGTCAAAGCAAATAAACACGACGTAATCAAATGCAGCCGTGGCTGCAAATTGCTTTCGGCTGTGATCAAGTGGGTTATGGGGAGCAGGCGAGGCACCAAACAGCCCACGTCTTCGTCGTGGGACTTCGATCCTATCAACAACACCAACGAAGTGAGGCCGCTCTAAGGTATTATAATCTTAATCTTGCAATCTCAGTTCATAAACCCACAGCTGTGCACAAGTCGCACATTTCCCAAAGTTAATAACAGCACCCAGGGTTGACAAGTATTGGGATTAAATATGTTTACAGTACAGGGCTTTAGAGGACGGATCACAGGGAGATTGATAGAAATAGTAACAAATGWGAGTAAATGTTGGTATGYTGCGTGGATGAAAGCAGCTTGACTGTATGCCCTGATGTAAACTCCTCCAGATTGGCCATCAGTCACTTGGAATAGGTTAAGAGGACGATACAACAGCTCCTGCGAGGCTGTGCTGGCTTATTGGAGCATGATGCAATAGGTCAGCGCTGTTCCCTGATAGCTGTGTCCTCCTCATAATTGATGAGTAATTAGCACAGGTAGTGTAGGTCATGAGTTCCACTGAAGCATACAGTGAAGAGGTGAAAGCATGAGTCACGCTCGATGATGGGTTGCTTTCCAGAGGGAACGCACTTTTTTAAAAAGGGCGTTTCAGTCACGGCGGTGCGCCTTATTAACTGCAAACAAATGGGATTATTGTCATTTACAGTAAAGCAAGTAAACAGAACCTGAAAGTAAGAGTCAACGCACTCGCTTCATCTGCCGCGTGAAATCAAAGGACACGGCGCTGCAGACTGTGTGCACGCACGTCCCCTTCTTTTAATTTCACCACATCCAGCAGCATCCTTTAATAAGCACACTCCATTTGCATGCAAATCAGACCAATTACCAGCAAGTAGCTGGCATGCAAGTATCATTTCACATAGAGCCATATCATGCCTCATTTGCTCAGCCTTGAAACATAAGCTTATATGTACAATAGAGTGCACTGTTATCCTCTGTGTTCCCTCAACGTGGGTTCAGCACTTGACTAAGAAAACTATTATTGCTGATAAATGTGTWAAACGGCAATTGGATAATTATCCAGCTTCAGCTCCCCTTCCAGCAGAGAGAGAGAGAGGGGCAACATTTTTATTATGATGGAGATAACCTAACTTCTGCTGCAACTGTGTACACAGTTTACGGGCGACTCGTGAGCTAAAGTAAGTGCACGAGAGGAGCACAGGAGAAAACCGCAACAAGTCATTAGGGCATGAAAGTGAGATGGCTGGTAGTTTGAMAGAAGCAACCAGTCAGAGGCACTTTGCTGCAATCAAAGTCTTTCACACTCAGCAGCTGTCAGTCTAGCACAAAGGACAGAAATATTCACATCTATGACATCACGAAGGCAGAAGCTGAGGACACGTTTTGCATATTTGAAAGCATGCTGTTAGTTTTTGAAAAAGAAGAAATCTGGTCACTTAACTGTGGCTAGCTTGTCTTGATCCCTGGAAACGATCCCTCAAACTATGATCAGTCCTCTCCTGCTCACAGGTACTGATCGTTTCAACCACTGATGACCCAGACCAGTTGGAACTTGTTGGGAGAACTGCTTCTCAGCTAAAAATGAGCGACTCTTTCAGTGAGAGTGGACAGCTGGTTGAGCAAGTCTGAACAAATTTAGTGACTAAGCACTACGTCAGTCCTGACTGCACCGCCGCTATAGTGAGCGAGCGTAAACGGGAACTTGGGACTGAATTACGAACTGTAGTGTGATCCATGGAGTCTCCAAGATTAAAATGTCACCTAAAATGTGCAGGCGGACACATCGGCTCAGATAAACGCAGTGATTTGTAGTTTGTACTAACAAAAGCAAAGTTGTCAGTTAGAATCCCATAAAAAATGTGTATACAGTATATTTGACTTGTCATTTGCAGCATAAATGAGCTAAAGGAGATAAATAAAGAAGGATGTCACAAGAGAGAGAAGGGGCACCTCCTTTCTGCCTGAAATCATCCTCTGACATCCAGCATACAGAGCGGTGACAGGAACAGACTTATCAGCACACAGTGCATCAGCCTGTAACAGATGAACCCYGCAGCAGGCACTTCATCAAAGGCCAGAGGGGAACACTGATGGTGAATATGGTGAATATGGAACAGCAGCCACAAGTGGCACACATCCTGTTTGTTTCTCTCATACCATACCATACCATACNGTGTGTGTGTGTGTGTGTGTGTGTGTGTGTGTGTGTGTGTGTGTGTGAAAGAGAGAGAGTGTGTCTAATAGAAAGGCTGATGATGCTAGAGGGAAAAAAATGTGTGTATTCAAGAAATTCTTGTGATGCGGACTAGGATGACTGTAGGCATGACTATGAGAGTGCACATGTGTGTGTGTGTGTGTGTGTGCGTAAACGTTCTTGTAAACGTGTGTTTACGAGTGCAGGAAACAATATACAGGATGCTATTGTCTGTGTGGGCATGTGATAAAAGAAGAGGTAGCTGAGGGAGAGACACGAGACAAAGAGGGTGAAGGATAGGAAGACAGTACATTTTGAGTGTGTGTGTGTGTGTGTGTGTGTGTGTGTGTGTGTGTGTGTGTGTCCGTGTGAGTGATAGAGGAGGAGAAAAAGAAAGCAGTGTGTAGGGCCTGAGAGCTGTCATCATTAGTCTCTCTGCGGCGGCTGGTGTTGAGCTGCAAAAGGGCTTGTCAGTCAGCTTCTGTCACAACATGTCACTGAAAACACACACTCTCCCAGAGGGGATCATGTCAGGGAAAAAGGGCCGAGGCCGCTCTGACAAACCCCGACACCCCTCCTCTTCACCTTTCACCCCGGCCTCGCCTCGCCCTCCCGCCAGCGGTGACGGGTTCCGGATCGACCCTCTGATTCTGATTATTTTTACCCACTGACGGGGCGGACGTTGGATAAAAAAGAAAGGGGGGCAGATAAAATTAGATGGGAGCGAACGCTCTCCTGAGAATAACCCCACCAAATACTGCTGACTCACCGTGCTCCGAGCAGGCCTCGAAAAATGCTCGAAGACCAGAGCAGATCTACTCAGTAAAATCTATGGAAAACAAAACGGAATCAGCTGCTGATAACATCTGTAGAAGTGAAAGAAAAACAAAACAAATAAAAACCAAACAAGCACACATAAGCAGCAGTATTTTATTCTGGTCCGATCGATCCCACAGAGCTGACTTTTATCTGCACACAAAACACAGACCTTCCCTTTTTCCTGGCTTTTCTCTTCCTCTCTTCCTGCCGATTTAATTACCTTCTATATTTATCTGAGCTCAAGATGCTATTTTAGTTTTGAGACTCTTGTCACTGATATCGGGAGGCTACATTATTCAGAGTGAGAGCACAGGGGGCCGTCTGACACAGAACAAGAGCGCTGTTGTTAACCCTATACAGGAGGACGGAGGATGAGCCACGCATCAGTTCAGTGCATGTCTGAGATATATNTGATCCAGCTCTTACCTCCAGGCGGTCCAGGCTGGTGAAACTGGTGATAGCAAATCCATCAATGATATCCTCCTCCTGCGAGCTGGACTCGCGTCTCTTCCTCCGGGGGGGACGGGGGGCTCTGGTGGTGGCTGCGGCGGGGCGCGGCGCCTTTTTACCGGCCAGGGAGGCGGCGTCTCTCCCGGGACCGTGTCCCTCCCTGTCGGAGCAGGAGGAGTTGGGGTCCGGGCTGCGGGCTTCTCGGCTCCCGGGCTCCCGCAGCCTCCGCACTCTCTCCCGCTTGGCCCGGCACCTCCGACCCTGCGGCTTCAGTTTGCCGTCCATGTTGTTAGAAAACATGTAGTGTCAATTAAATAGGGATTAAGAGAGGGAGAGAGGGAGGGGAAGTGAAGAAAAAAAAATGTAACTCCACAGGACGTGCACGCCTACACGCACCCCGCACCGTGTAATAACAAATAACACACACTGGACTGTGTGTGTGTGTGTGTGTGTGTGTGTGTGTGTGTGTGTGTGTGTGTGTGTGTGTGT